TGGGGGGGAAGGTCCCCACGTTTTTTTAAAACAATGTTGTTAGCAAGAACCAATATGAGTATCAGTTTATTAAATAAACACTTTTTTAAACCTAAGCCCTTTCAGTCTTTAAAATTCTAAACATTGCAACCTTGTGCTAGAGAATGAGACTCACCAAAAGACACCAATTATATATCAAAGTCTAACTGAGTCCTACAGTGTCTAGGTTAAGTGCAAGAAGTAAACAAATATCATTTATCAGGGTGTGCTTGGTAGATTTACATTTTGGGCATCTTTCTATAACCCTTTAACTCCATATCCCTATCCCTTCTGTAATCATTTGCACTGGTGCCAAGTTGATGCAAGACATTACAAAAAACAAAAATAAAAATCACTTCTATAGTGGCTTTATAGCCACTTGGCACTAGTGCAAATGGTTGCCAGGGCAATGGAGAGTTAGTCTCATTGGACTTTTTTGTTGAGGATCACTCAGCCCTTTGCAGGTTACAAGAAATGGACACTGTCCAATGACTGAGTAGATGGGCAATCTAATGCTCTTACAAATGGGCATTAGCAGGAGCAGGTCTGAAGATGTGTACATCACAGAACAACTGCAGGTTTTCCTTTTTACAAACAAACACTTTGTAAAGTGGATTAATGGTGAAAGGCATCTGGGAGAAATGCTGTTTTTCAGGAGGAATGACTGGGTATCTGACTCCCTGGGATTTATAAAAGCCACTTGCACCGAGAGCTGCAGCAACAGGGATTTATATTATGACCACCCAGTGCAACTCCTTCACTCCTCCCCCATCAGGACTCAACTGTGATGGGCCCTTTAAACACAACTTTCCGTACTCTAAATGGCTTTTGTAAACCATTTATCCTGTTCCTTCTACAAATGCTGTGACTTTTCATCCTTAGTCAAAATGATCATTCCTTTCTAGAATCCAGATGGTTATAGACTTTTAGTTTGAATTATTTTTAGCTGGTTTGGAAAAAGTTTATGCCCAATCCTGTGTTTGATGTTCTTGTACCGGTTTCTCTAGCACAGACTGTCAGGCCTCCTGTTAATATTCATTCTTCTTTGCTTTGTTAAAAATACCACAACAACAAAAGCTCCTTTAATAAAAGAGGAAAAAGAAAATAAATGGTCTCCAGGAAGCAACCACTAGAAAGCAGTTTACAAAACAGTGGGGGGTAGTTTTCATTATTATTTGAATTCAATGAAGAAGTTTTTTCAGATTTAAATGTCTCTCTACAGTGTTGCAAATCTAAAACCAGAGTTTTATGCTAGCACACCAGAAAGTGAAACTGATCAATGCAGTTTTCCCTGTCTATGGACAGTGAAATGCAAAAGTGAATCAACTTTACTAATAATCAGGTTTAATACTCTCAGCTGTTACTAGTAACACAGCTAAGGATTAAATTATATATGTACATGGGCCAGAGCCTCAATTCATGTAAATTAGTATAGCTCCATTAACTTCAATGGAGAAACAGCAATTTATACCAGTTGAAAATCTGGCCTGTGATTTTTATCTCAATATGATAACATTTTCAGCATGTTACACACGCATTTTACCATTTAGCCAGCATCAGAATGAGAACCAGAGACCATACTAGCATATTATTGGAAAGTGTCCCATTTCTCAGTTTCTTTATGTACAGCTGACTCCAATTAGATCTAGGCTTCTGATCTCCGCTCCATCCCACAACCCTGGCCTTGCACAACTGGAGATGTCCAACAAGGAGAACTTGTAATAGGAAGCAGATGTCCACCCACTCCTTTGTAAGTTTAAGCCTATTTTAATATATTGGGCTTCAATCCTCTCCTTGATCAAGTTCAGCACTACCCAGGCATGTCCCACAACTGTTTCACATTTGGGGACAATGTATACCTTCAAGTCAGCTGCACTGCTATGGGTACCCGCATGGCCCCACAGTATGCCAACATTTTTATGGCTCACTTAGAACAACGCTTCCTCAGCTCTCGTCCCCTAACGTCCCTACTCTACTTGCGCTACATTGAGGACATCTTCATTCTCTGGACACATGGAAAAGAAGCCCTTGAGGAATTCCACCATGATTTCAACAATTTCCATCCCACCATCAACCTCAGACCGGACCAGTCCACACAAGAGATCCACTTCTTGGACACTACAGTGCTAATAAGCGATGGTCACATAAACACCACCCTATACCGGAAACCTACTGACCGCTATACTTACCTACATGCCTCCAGCTTTCATCCAGATCACACCACACAATCCATTGTCTACAGCCAAGCTCTAAGATACAACTGCATTTGCTCCAACCCCTCAGACAGAGACAAACACCTACAAGATCTCTATCAAGCATTCTTAAAACTACAATATCCACCTGCTGAAGTGAAGAAACAGATTGACAGAGCCAAAAGAGTACCCAGAAGTCACCTACTACAGGGCAGGCCCAACAAAAAAAGTAACAGAACGCCACTAGCCGTCACCTTCAGCCCCCAACTAAAACCTCTGC